ACAGAGACTCATAGACTCACACAGAGAGACTCATAGACTCACAGATTCACACAGAGACTCATTGAATCACACAGAGACTCACAGATTCACACAGAGACTCATAGACTCACACAGAGACTCACACAGAGACTCATAGACTCACACAGACTCACACAGACTCACACAGACTCACACAGAGACTCATAGACTCACAGAGACTCATAGACTCACACAGAGACTCACACAGAGACTCATAGACTCACAGAGAGGCTCATAGACTCACACAGAGACTCATACGGAGACTCATAGACTCAAACAGAGAGCCTCATAGACTCACAGATCCACACAGAGACTCATCGACTCACACAGAGACTCACAGATTCACACAGAGACTCATAGACTCACACAGAGACTCACACAGAGACTCATAGACTCACACAGACTCACACAGACTCACACAGAGACTTATAGACTCACAGAGACTCATAGACTCACACAGAGACTCACACAGAGACTCATAGACTCACACAGAGACTCATAGACTCACACAGAGACTCACACAGATACTCATAGACTCACAGAGAGCCTCATAGACTCACACAGACTCACACAGACTCACACAGAGACTCATAGACTCACAGAGACTCATAGACTCACACAGAAACTGATAGACTCACACAGAGACTCACACAGAGACTCATAGACGCACACAGAGAGTCTCATAGACTCACAGATTCACACAGAGACTCATAGACTCACACAGAGACTCACAGATTCACACAGAGACTCACAGATTCACACAGAGACTCATAAACTCACACAGAGACTCATAGACTCACACAGACTCACACAGACTCACACAGAGACTCATAGACTCACAGAGACTCATAGACTCACACAGAGACGCATAGACTCACACATAGACTCACACAGAGACTCATAGACTCACACAGAGACACACAGAGACTCATAGACTCACACAGAGAGACTCATAGACTCACAGATTCACACAGAGACTCATAGACTCACACAGAGACTCACAGATTCACACAGAGACTCATAGACTCACACAGATACTCACACAGAGACTCATAGACTCACACAGAGACTCACACAGAGACTCATAGACTCACACAGAGACTCACACAGACTCACACAGAGACTCACACATACTCACACAGAGACTCATAGACTCATAGACTCACACAGAGACTCATAGACTCACACAGAGACTCATAGACTCACACAGAGAGCCTCATAGACTCATAGACTCACGCAGAGACTCATAGACTCACACAGAGACAAACAGACTCACACAGAGAGACCCTGACTCACACAGAGACTCATAGACTCACACAGACTCACACAGACCCACGCAGAGACTCACACAGAGACTCATAGACTCACACAGAGACTCATAGACTCACACAGAGACTCACAGAGACTCGTAGACTCACACAGAGACGCATAGACTCACACATAGACTCACACAGAGACTCATAGACTCACACAGAGAGACGCTGACTCACACAGAGACTCATAGACTCACACAGACTCACACAGACCTACGCAGAGACTCACACAGAGACTCATAGACTCACACAGAGACTCATAGACTCACACAGAGACTCACATAGACTCATAGACTCACACAGAGACGCATAGACTCACACAGAGACTTATAGACTCACACAGAGACTCATAGACTCATACAGAGACTCATAGACTCACACAGAGAGACTCATAGACTCACAGATTCACACAGAGACTCATAGACTCACACAGAGACTCACAGATTCACACAGAGACTCATAGACTCACACAGAGACTCACACAGAGACTCATAGACTCACACAGACTCACACAGACTCACACAGAGACTCATAGACTCACAGAGACTTATAGACTCACACAGAGACTCACACAGAAACTCATAGACTCACACAGAGACTCATAGACTCACACAAAGACTCGCACAGAGACTCATAGACTCACAGAGAAACTCAAAGGCTCACACAGAGACTTATAGACTCACACAGAGACTCACACAGAAACTCATAGACTCACACAGACTCACACAGAGACTCATACACTCACAGAGACTCATAGACTCACACAGAGACTCACACAGAGACTCAGACTCACAGAGAGACTCATAGACTCACACAGAGACTCACACGGAGACTCATAGACTCAAACAGAGAGCCTCATAGACTCACAGATCCACACAGAGACTCATTGACTCACACAGAGACTCACAGATTCACACAGAGACTCATAGACTCACACAGAGACTCACACAGACTCACACAGAGACTCATAGACTCACATAGACTCATAGACTCACACAGAGACTCACACAAAGACTCATAGACTCACACAGAGACTCATAGACTCACACAGAGACTCATAGACTCACACAGAGATGCATACACTCACACAGAGACTCACAGAGACTCATAGACTCACACAGAGACTCATAGACTCACACAGAGACGCATAGACTCACACAGAGACTCATAGACTCACACAGAGACTCACACAGAGACTCATGGACTCACACAGAGACTCATAGACTCACACAGAGACTCATAGACTCACACAGAGACTCATAGACTCACACAGAGACTCACACAGAGACTCAAAGACTCACACATAGACTCATAGACTCACACAGAGACTCATAGACTCACACAGAGACTCATAGACTCACACAGAGACTCACACAGAGTCTCATAGACTCACACAGAGACTCATAGACTCACACAGAGACTCACGCAGAGTCTCATAGACTCACACAGAGACTCATAGGCTCACACAGAGTCTCATAGACTCACACAGAGACTCATAGGCTCACACAGAGACTCATAGACTCACACAGAGACTCATAGACTCACACAGAGACTCACACAGATCCTCATAGACTCACACAGAGACTCATAGACTCACACAGAGACTCACACAGAGACTCATAGACTCACACAGAGACTCACACAGATCCTCATAGACTCACACAGAGACTCATAGACTCATACAGAGACTCATAGACTCACACAGAGACTCATAGACTCACACAGAGACTCACATAGAGACTCATAGACTCACACAGAGACTCACACAGAGACTCATAGACTCACACAGAGACTCATAGACTCACACAGAGACTCACACAGAGACTCATAGACTCACACAGAGACTCACACAGAGACTCAAAGACTCACACATAGACTCATAGACTCACACAGAGACTCATAGACTCACACAGAGACTCATAGACTCACACAGAGACTCATAGACTCACACAGAGACTCACACAGAGTCTCATAGACTCACACAGAGACTCATAGACTCACACAGAGACTCACGCAGAGTCTCATAGACTCACACAGAGACTCATAGGCTCACACAGAGTCTCATAGACTCACACAGAGACTCATAGGCTCACACAGAGACTCATAGACTCACACAGAGACTCATAGACTCACACAGAGACTCACACAGATCCTCATAGACTCACACAGAGACTCATAGACTCACACAGAGACTCACACAGAGACTCATAGACTCACACAGAGACTCACGCAGAGTCTCATAGACTCACACAGAGACTCATAGGCTCACACAGAGACTCATAGACTCACACAGAGACTCATAGACTCACACAGAGACTCACACAGAGGCTCATAGACTCACACAGAGACTCATAGACTCACACAGAGACTCACGCAGAGTCTCATAGACTCACACAGAGACTCATAGGCTCACACAGAGTCTCATAGACTCACACAGAGACTCATAGGCTCACACAGAGACTCATAGACTCACACAGAGACTCATAGACTCACACAGAGACTCACACAGATCCTCATAGACTCACACAGAGACTCATAGACTCACACAGAGACTCACACAGAGACTCATAGACTCACACAGAGACTCACGCAGAGTCTCATAGACTCACACAGAGACTCATAGGCTCACACAGAGACTCATAGACTCACACAGAGACTCATAGACTCACACAGAGACTCACACAGAGACTCACAGACTCACACAGAGACTCACACAGAGACTCATAGACTCACACAGAGACGCATAGACTCACACAGAGACTCATAGGCTCACACAGAGTCTCATAGACTCACACAGAGACTCATAGGCTCACACAGAGACTCATAGACTCACACAGAGACTCATAGACTCACACAGAGACTCACACAGATCCTCATAGACTCACACAGAGACTCATAGACTCACACAGAGACTCACACAGAGACTCATAGACTCACACAGAGACTCACGCAGAGTCTCATAGACTCACACAGAGACTCATAGGCTCACACAGAGACTCATAGACTCACACAGAGACTCACAGACTCACACAGAGACTCACACAGAGACTCACAGACTCACACAGAGACTCACACAGAGACTCATAGACTCACACAGAGACGCATAGACTCACACAGAGACTCATAGACTCACACAGAGACGCATACACTCACACAGAGACTCATAGACTCACACAGAGACGCATAGACTCACACAGAGACTCACACAGAGACTCATAGACTCACACAGAGACTCATAGACTCACACAGAGACTCATAGACTCACACAGAGACTCACACAGAGACTCATAGACTCACACATAGACTCATAGACTCACACAGAGACTCATAGACTCACACAGAGACACAGAGACTCATAGAGACTCATAGACTCACACAGAGACGCATAGACTCACACAGAGACTCATAGACTAACACAGAGACGCATACACTCACACAGAGACTCATAGACTCACACAGAGACACAGAGACTCACAGAGACTCATAGACTCACACAGAGACGCATAGACTCACACAGAGACTCACACAGAGACTCATAGACTCACACAGAGACTCATAGACTCACACAGAGACTCACACAGAGACTCATAGACCCCCTCCCCCACCACCACCACCCCCACCCCCCTCCCACCCCCACCCCCACCCTCTCCGCACCCGCCCGGCGTGTAGGCCAATGTCCACCTTCGAGCTGCGCACCTTCGACCCCGAGGGGTTGGTGTTCTACGGCGAGACGGGCGGCCACTCCAACTGGTTCCTGCTGGCGCTGCACAACGGGCAGCTGGAGGTGCAGATGAAGGACACCAACGGCAAGCTGGTGACGACCGGGGGCAAGCCCGTCAACGACGGCCAGTGGCATCAGGTGCGCTGGTGGGGTCACGGTGGGGTCACGGTGGGGTCACGGTGGGGTCACGGTGGGGTCACGGTGGGGCAAGGCGAGGTCACGGTGGGGCAAGGCAGGGTCACGGTGGGGTCACGGTGCGGCGAGGCGGGGTCACGGTGGGCCAAGGCGGGGTCACGGTGGGGTCACGGTGGGGCAAGGCGGGGTCACGGTGGGGCAAGGCGGGGTCATGGTGGGGCAAGGCGGGGTCACGGTGGGGTCACGGTGGGGCAAGGTGGGGTCATGGTGGGGCAAGGCGGGGTCACGGTAGGGTCACGGTGGGGCAAGGCAGGGTCACGGTGGGGCAAGGCGAGGTCACGGTGGGGTGACGGTGGGGCAAGGCGGCGTCATGGTGGGGCAAGGTGGGGTCATGGTGGGGCAAGGCGGGGTCATGGTGGGGTCACGGTGGGGTCACGGTGAGGCAAGGCGGGGCCACGGTGGGGTCACGGTGGGGCGAGGCGGGGTCACGGTATGACGAGGCGGGGTCACGGTGGGGCGAGGCGGGGTCATATTGGGGCAAGTTGGGGTCAAGGTGGGGTCAAGGTGGGGCAAGGCGGGGTCACGGTGGGGCAAGGCAGGGTCACGGTGGGGTCACGGTGCGGCGAGGCGGGGTCACGGTGGGCCAAGGCGGGGTCACGGTGGGGTCACGGTGGGGCAAGGCGGGGTCACGGTGGGGCAAGGCAGGGTCACGGTGGGGTCACGGTGCGGCGAGGCGGGGTCACGGTGGGCCAAGGCGGGGTCACGGTGGGGTCACGGTGGGGCAAGGCGGGGTCACGGTGGGGCAAGGCGGGGTCACGGTGGGGTCACGGTGAGGCAAGGTGGGGTCATGGTGGGGCAAGGCGGGGTCACGGTGAGGTCACGATGGGGCAAAGCGGGGTCACGGTGGGGCAAGGTGGGGTCACGGTGGGGTCACGGTGAGGCAAGGTGGGGTCATGGTGGGGCAAGGCGGGGTCACGGTGGGGCAAGGCGAGGTCACGGTGGGGTCACGGTGAGGCAAGGCGGGGTCATGGTGGGGCAAGGCGGGGTCACGGTGGGGCAAGGCGGGGTCACAGTGGGGTCACGGTGAGGCAAGGTGGGGTCATGGTGGGGCAAGGCGGGGTCACGGTGAGGTCACGATGGGGCAAAGCGGGGTCACGGTGGGGCAAGGCGGGGTCACGGTGGGGTCACGGTGAGGCAAGGTGGGGTCATGGTGGGGCAAGGCGGGGTCACGGTGGGGCAAGGCGAGGTCACAGTGGGGTCACGGTGAGGCAAGGCGGGGTCATGGTGGGGCAAGGCGGGGTCACGGTGGGGTCACGGTGGGGTCACGGTGGGGCAAGGCAGGGTCACGGTGAGTCAAGGCGGGGTCACGGTGGGGTCACGGTGGGGCAAGGCGGGGTCATGGTGGGGCAAGGCGAGGTCACGGTGGGGTCACGGTGAGGCAAGGCGGGGTCACGGTGGGGCAAGGCGGGGTCACGGTGGGGTCACGGTGGGGTCACGGTGGGGCAAGGCAGGGTCACGGTGAGTCAAGGCGAGGTCACGGTGGGGTCACGGTGGGGCAAGGCGGGGTCATGGTGGGGCAAGGCGAGGTCACGGTGGGGTCACGGTGGGGCAAGGTGGCGTCACGGTGGGGCAAGGTGGGGTCATGGTGGGGCAAGGTGGGGTCATGGTGGGGCAAGGCGGGGTCATGGTGGGGTCACAGTGGGGTCACGGTGAGGCAAGGCGGGGCCACGGTGGGGTCACGGTGGGGCGAGGCGGGGTCACGGTATGACGAGGCGGGGTCACGGTGGGGCGAGGCGGGGTCATATTGGGGCAAGTTGGGGTCAAGGTGGGGTCAAGGTGGGGCAAGGCAGGGTCACGGTGGGGACACGGTGGGGTCACGGTGGGGCAAGTTGGGGTCAAGGTGGCGTGACTTTGATGATCATGCTGATGACAGTGCTCATGACACTGCTCATGACACTGCTGATTACGTGTATGACAGCGACGACGATGATGATGATGACATTGATGACATTGATGACGATGATGCCGCTGATGACGATGATGCCGCTGATGATGCTGATGGCACGGCCGACGATGACGCTGACGATGTGGATGACGTTGACGACGCCGCTCGCCCCCGTACAGGTGTCGGTGGAGAAGACGCTGAGCCACGTGATCGTGAAGGTGGACGGCGAGGAGGTGATCAACGTGAACAACCCGGGGCACATCTCCAACGGCGTGGACCCCAACTCGGAGCTGGAGATCAGCGTGGCCGGCCTGCCGCCCAGCGCACCGGACATGCTGAGGCCGGTGGGGACAGACGCACGGGGAGAGACGCGGGGGGAGAGACACGGGGGGGGAGAGACGCGGGGGGAGAGACACCGGGGCGGGGGAGAGACACGGGGAGAGAGAGACGCGGGGGGAGAGACACGGGGGGAGAGACACCGGGGTGGGGAGAGACACGGGGGGAGAGACACGTGGGGAGAGATGCGGGGAGAGAGACGCGGGGGGAGAGACACCAGGGGAGACGCGGGAAGAGAGACACGGGGGGAGAGACGCGCGGAGAGAGAGATGCGGGGGGAGAGACACCGGGGGAGACGCGGGAAGAGAGACACGGGGGGAGAGACGCGGGGGGAAAGACACGGGGAGAGAGACGTGTGGGGAGAGACACGGGGAGAGAGACGCGGGGAGAGAGACACGGGGGAGAGACACGGGGGAGAGACACGGGGAGAGAGACGCGCGTGGGGAGAGACACGGGGAGAGAGAGACGCGGGGAGAGAGACGCAGGGAGAGACGCGGGGAGAGAGACGCGGGAGAGAGAGGCCGGGGGGAGAGGCACGGGGGAGAGACACGGGGGAGAGAGATGCGGGGGGGGGGGGGGGAGACACGGGGAGAGACGCGGGGAGAGAGAGACACGGGGAGAGAGACACGGGGAGAGAGACGCGGGGAGAGAGAGACGCGGGGAGAGAGAGACACGTGGGGAGAGACGCGGGGAGAGAGACATGCGGGGGGAGAGACGCGGGGGGTGAGACACGGGGAGAGAGACACGGGGAGAGGCGCGGGGGAGAGACACGGGAGAGACACGGGAGAGAGATGCGGGGGGGGGAGAGACGCGGGGAGAGACGCGGGGAGAGAGACGCGGGGAGAGAGACAGGGAGAGAGACGCGGGGAGAGAGACACGGGGAGAGAGAGACGCGGGGAGAGAGACACGGGGGGAGAGACACGGGGGGAGAGACACGGGGGGAGAGACACGGGGAGAGAGACACGGGGATAGAGACGCGGGGAGAGAGACGCGGGGAGAGAGACACGGGGATAGAGACGCGGGGAGAGAGACGCGTGGGGAGAGACGCGGGGAGAGAGACATGCGGGGGGAGAGACGCGGGGGGTGAGACACGGGGAGAGAGACACGGGGAGAGGCGCGGGGGAGAGACACGGGAGAGACACGGGAGAGAGATGCGGGGGGGGGAGAGACGCGGGGAGAGACGCGGGGAGAGAGACGCGGGGAGAGAGACGGGGAGAGAGACGCGGGGAGAGAGACACGGGGAGAGAGAGACGCGGGGAGAGAGACACGGGGGGAGAGACACGGGGGGAGAGACACGGGGGGAGAGACACGGGGAGAGAGACACGGGGATAGAGACGCGGGGAGAGAGACGCGGGGAGAGAGACACGGGGAGAGAGACATGCGGGGGGAGAGACGCGGGGGGTGAGACACGGGGAGAGAGACACGGGGAGAGGCGCGGGGGAGAGACACGGGAGAGACACGGGAGAGAGATGCGGGGGGGGGAGAGACGCGGGGAGAGACGCGGGGAGAGAGACGCGGGGAGAGAGACGGGGAGAGAGACGCGGGGAGAGAGACACGGGGAGAGAGAGACGCGGGAGAGAGACACGGGGGGAGAGACACGGGGGGAGAGACACGGGGGGAGAGACACGGGGAGAGAGACACGGGGATAGAGACGCGGGGAGAGAGACGCAGGGAGAGAGACACGGGGAGAGAGACACGGGGATAGAGACGCGGGGAGAGAGATGCGTGGGGAGAGACGCGGGGAGAGAGACATGCGGGGGGAGAGACGCGGGGGGAGAGACACGGGGAGAGAGACACGGGGAGAGGCGCGGGGGAGAGACACGGGAGAGACACGGGAGAGAGATGCGGGGGGGGGAGAGATGCGGGGAGAGACGCGGGGAGAGAGATGCGGGGAGAGAGACGGGGAGAGAGACGCGGGGAGAGAGACACGGGGAGAGAGAGACGCGGGGAGAGAGACACGGGGGGAGAGACACGGGGGGAGAGACACGGGGGGAGAGACACGGGGAGAGAGACACGGGGATAGAGACGCGGGGAGAGAGACGCGGGGAGAGAGACACGGGGAGAGAGACACGGGGATAGAGACGCGGGGAGAGAGACGCGTGGGGAGAGACGCGGGGAGAGAGACATGCGGGGGGAGAGACGTGGGGGGTGAGACACGGGGAGAGAGACACGGGGAGAGGCGCGGGGGAGAGACACGGGAGAGACACGGGAGAGAGATGCGGGGGGGGGGAGAGACGCGGGGAGAGACGCGGGGAGAGAGACGCGGGGAGAGAGACGGGGAGAGAGACGCAGGGAGAGAGACACGGGGAGAGAGAGACGCGGGGAGAGAGACACGGGGGGAGAGACACGGGGGGAGAGACACGGGGGGAGAGACACGGGGAGAGAGACACGGGGATAGAGACGCGGGGAGAGAGACGCGGGGAGAGAGACACGAGGAGAGAGACACGGGGAGAGAGACATGCGGGGGGAGAGACACGGGGGGAGAGACACGGGGAGAGAGACGCGGGGAGAGAGACGCGGGGAGAGACGCGGGGGGAGAGACACGGGGACAAAAACCGCCATTCGCCACTAATTGGCGAAGTCACCTCGGCGCCTGTGCCAGGCTAGGTGCACGTTGATACTGTCACGTGAAGTGTCGAAGGCCCGCCGGCAGGAGGTCACGGGACAGACCCAGCAGGTGCCACGGTGTTGGCCGACTGAGATGACCGGTAGATGCACCACCATCTGTACCGCCCCTACTGTGCCAGGCTAGGTGCAGGAGGAGGTCACGGGGCAGACCCAGCAGCCTGTTAGAGGTTACACGGGGGAGCTTTGTCTGTGTCTACCTTCACAGGTGCTGCTTCTACTCGCTACTAACAGCACTTGCCCCTACAGCCTGTTAGAGGCTACACGGGGGAGCTTTGTCTGTGTCTACCTTCACAGGTGCTGCTGCTACTCGCTACTAAGAGCACTTGCCCCTACAGCCTGTTAGAGGTTACACGGGGGAGCTTTGTCTGTGTCTACCTTCACAGGTGCTGCTTCTACTCGCTACTAACAGCACTTGCCCCTACAGCCTGTTAGAGGCTACACGGGGGAGCTTTGTCTGTGTCTACCTTCACAGGTGCTGCTGCTACTCACAGCACTTGCCCCTACATCCGGTTAGAGGCTACACGGGGGGAGGGGGAAACTTTTACCTTTTTACCTCTACATCCTCCTCCTCCGACCCCCCCTGCCCCCCTCCTGCCCCCCACTGCCCCCCATGCCCCCCCCCCGCCCCCCACTGCCCCCAGATGAACGTCCGTCTGGACGGCTGCATCCGCAACTGGGACTGGATGGGCCAGGACACGGCGTGGATCTCTGGGGCTCTGCGTGACGAGCCAAGCCGTCAGTGTTACCGCAACGTGGAACCGGGCTCCTTCTTGCCTGGAGCAGGGCACGCCGAGTTCAACACTCTCTCTTACGGTGAGCGGCAGGCACCACTCCCTACTCACCACTCCCTACTCACCACTCCCTACTCACCACTCCCTACTCACCACTCCCTACTCACCACCACCACCATCACCTACTCACCAACCCCTACTCACCACCACCACTACTCACCACTCCCTACTCACCACCACCACTACTCACCACTACCCCTACTCACCACCACCTACTCACCACCACTCCCTACTCACCACTCCCTACTCACCACTCCCTACTCACCACCACCACCATCACCTACTCACCACTCCCTACTCACCACTCCCTACTCACCACCCCCTACTCACCACTCCCTACTCACCACTCCCTACTCACCACTCCCTACTCACCACCACCACTACTCACCACTACCCCTACTCACCACTCCCTACTCACCATCACCTACTCACCACCACCACCACCACCATCCCTACTCACCACTCCCTACTCACCATCACCACCACCATCCCCTACTCACCACTCCCTACTCACCACCACCACTACTCACCACTACCCCTACTCACCACCACCACCACCATCCCCTACTCACCACTCCCTACTCACCATCACCACCACCATCATCACCTACTCACCAACCCCTACTCACCACCACCACCACCATCCCCTACTCACCACTCCCTACTCACCACTCCCTACTCACCACCACCACTACTCACCACTACCCCTACTCACCACCACCTACTCACCACCACCCCTACTCACCACTCCCTACTCACCACCACCACTACTCACCACTCCCTATTCATCACCACTCCCTACTCACCACCATCACCTACTCACCACTCCCTACTCACCACCACCACTACTCACCACCACCACTACTCATCACTCCCTACTCACCACCACCACCATCACCTACTCACCACTCCCTACTCACCACCACCACCATCATCACCTACTCACCAACCCCTACTCACCACCACCACCACCATCCCCTACTCACCACTCCCTACTCACCACTCCCTACTCACCATCACCACCACCATCATCACCTACTCACCAACCCCTACTCACCACCACCACTACTCACCACTCCCTACTCACCACCACCACTACTCACCACTACCCCTACTCACCACCACCTACTCACCACCACCCCTACTCACCACTCCCTACTCACCACCACCACTACTCACCACTCCCTACTCATCACCACTCCCTACTCACCACTCCCTACTCACCATCACCACTACTCACCACTACCCCTACTCACCACTCCCTACTCACCACCATCACCTACTCACCACTCCCTACTCACCACTCCCTACTCACCACCACCACTACTCACCACTCCCTACTCACCACTCCCTACTCACCACCACCACTACTCACCACTACCCCTACTCACCACTCCCTACTCACCACCACCACTACTCACCACTCCCTACTCACCACTCCCTACTCACCACCACCACTACTCACCACTCCCTACTCACCACCCCCTACTCACCATCCCCTACTCACCATCACCTACTCACCACCACCACCACCATCCCTACTCACCACTACCCCTACTCACCACTCCCTACTCACCACCACCACTACTCACCACTCCCTACTCACCACTCCCTACTACTCACCACTCCCTACTCACCACCACCACTACTCACCATCACCACTACTCACCATCCCCTACTCACCATCACCTACTCACCATCACCACCACCACCACTACTCACCACTCCCTACTCACCACTCCCTACTCACCACCACCACTACTCACCATCACCACTACTCACCATCCCCTACTCACCATCACCTACTCACCATCACCACCACCATCACCTACTCACCAACCCCTACTCACCACTACCCCTACTCACCACTCCCCTACTCACCCTCCCCCTACTCACCACCATCCCCTACTCACCAATCCCTACTCACCACCATCCCCTACTCACCCTCCCACTACTCACCACCAGCCCCTACTCACCCCACTCTACTCACCCCCCCCCTCCCGTGTGCCCCCCCCCACTGCCCTCTCCCCACAACTTTTGCGGCTCCAAATTGCGAGAAACTCTCACGGTGGCTAGGAAGATGTTGACTACCTCGCCTGGTACACAGGAGGTCGTGGGTTCGATCCCGACCCTGACGACGCCTGCTGCTGTATATGTGGAGTCTGTGTCTCTCTCTCATCACCACGGTGGCTAGGAAGATGTTGACTACCTCGCCTGGTCTACAGGAGGTCGTGGGTTCGATCCCGACCCTGACGACGCCTGCTGCTGTATATGTGGAGTCTGTGTCTCTCTCTCATCACCACGGTGGCTAGGAGATGTTGACTACCTCGCCTGGTACACAGGAGGTCGTGGGTTCAATCTCGACCATGACAAAGCCTACTGCTGCTGCTGTAGATTTGGAGTCTGCGTGTCTCTCTCATCATCACCACGGTGGCTAGGAGATGTTGACTACCTCGCCTGGTACACAGGAGGTCGTGGGTTCGATCCCGACCCTGACGACGCCTGCTGCTGTATATGTGGAGTCTGCGTCTCTCTCTCATCATCACGGTGGCTAGGAGATGTTGACTACCTCGCCTGGTGTGCAGGAGGTCGTGGGTTCGATTCCGACCATGACAAAGCCTACTGCTGCTGCTGCTGTAGATTTGGAGTCTGCGTCTCTCTCATCATCATCATCATCACGGTGGCTAGGAGATGTTGACAACCTCGCCTGGTCTACAGGAGGTCGTGGGTTCGATTCCGACACTGACGATGCCTGCTGCTGCTGTAGATTTGGAGTCTGCGTCTCTCTCATCATCATCATCACCACGGTGGCTAGGAAGATGTTGACTACCTCGCCTGGTGTGCAGGAGGTCGTGGGTTCGATTCCGACCATGACGAATCCTACTGCTGCTGCTGCTGTAGATTTGGAGTCTGCGTCTCTCTCATCATCATCATCATCACGGTGGCTAGGAGATGTTGACTACCTCGCCTGGCATACAGGAGGTCGTGGGTTCGATCCCGACCCTCATGACAACGCCTGTTGCTGCTGCTGCTGTATATTTGGAGTCTGCGTCTCTCACTCTCTCTCTCCCTCTCTCTCACCCCGCGGCGGTCGCGTGGATTTTACTCCGAGTCGTCCGGGATTTTTGTCCCCTCCCCCATTCATTCTTGCTGCCGCCCCCCTCGCCTCTCGCCCCCCTCGCCTCTCGCCCCCCCCCCCCCCCCCCGGCGCAGCCGTGCGGAAGCCGTCGGCCGTGGGACCGTCGGCGGAGGGCGACGCCGACGGTGACGGGTGGCGGCTGCAGCTGCGGCTGGAGCTGCGTCCGTCACGTGACCAGGCCGTGCTGGTGGCGTTGGTGCGCAACGGCACGGACGCGGAGCTCACGGTGGCGCTCACGCACGCGGCGAGGGGCGCCGTCGGGACGCCGGCGCGGCAGCAGCAGCTCGTGCCGGTACCACCGCCACCGCCGCCGCCGCCGGACGCCGGACGCCGGACGCCAAACCGCCGCCGCTGCCGCGGCCGCCGCTAGCCACCGCCAACATCGCGGCCACGGCCACGGCTAGCACAGCGAACAGCGGCAATAAGCTTCCTGCGGCACAAACACCGCCGTTCCACTATGGTGGAGTGTTGAGTCTATGGTGCAGTGTTGGGTCTATGGTGCAGTATTGAGTCTGTGGTGCAGTGTTGGGTCTATGGTGGAGTGTTGAGTTTATGGTGCAGTGCTGTGTCTATGGTGGAGTGTTGAGTCTGTGGTGGAGTGTTGAGTCTATGGTGAAGTGTTGGGTTTATGGTGGAGTGTTGAGTCGGTGGTGCAGTGTTGAGTCTATGGTGCAGTGTTGAGTCTATGGTGCAGTGTTGAGTCTATGGTGCAGTGTTGAGTCTATGGTGGAGTGTTGAGTCTATGGTGCAGTGTTGAGTCTGTGGTGCAGTGTTGAGTCGGTGGTGCAGTGTTGAGTCTATGGTGCAGTGTTGAGTCTATGGTGAAGTGTTGAGTCTATGGTGCAGTGTTGAGTCTATGGTGCAGTGTTGAGTCTATGGTGCAGTGTTGAGTCTATGGTGCAGTGTTGAGTCTATGGTGCAGTGTTGAGTCTATGGTGCAGTGTTGGGTCTATGGTGGAGTGTTGAGTCTATGGTGCAGTGTTGAGTCTATGGTGGAGTGCTGAGTCTATGGTGCAGTGTTGAGTCTGTGGTGCAGTGTTGAGTCTATGGTGCAGTGTTGAGTCTATGGTGCAGTGTTGAGTCTATGGTGCAGTGTTGAGTCTATGGTGCAGTGCTGAGTCTATGGTGCAGTGCTGAGTCTATGGTGCAGTGCTGAGTCTATGGTGCAGTGCTGAGTCTGTGGTGCAGTGTTGAGTCTGTGGTGAAGTGTTGAGTCTATGGTGCAGTGTTGAGTCGGTGGTGAAGTGTTGAGTCTATGGTGCAGTGTTGAGTCTGTGGTGAAGTGTTGGGTCTATGGTGCAGTGTTGAGTCTATGGTGAAGTGTTGTGTCTATGGTGCAGTGTTGAGTCTATGGTGCAGTGTTGAGTCGGTGGTGAAGTGTTGAGTCTATGGTGCAGTGTTGAGTCTATGGTGCAGTGTTGAGTCTATGGTGCAGTGTTGAGTCTATGGTGCAGTGTTGAGTCTATGGTGCAGTGTTGGGTCTATGGTGGAGTGCTGAGTCTATGGTGCAGTGTTGAGTCTATGGTGGAGTGCTGAGTCTATGGTGCAGTGTTGAGTCTGTGCTGCAGTGTTGAGTCTATGGTGCAGTGTTGAGTCTATGGTGCAGTGTTGAGTCTATGGTGCAGTGTTGCGTCTATGGTGCAGTGTTGAGTCTATGGTGCAGTGCTGAGTCTATGGTGGAATGTTGAGTCTATGGTGCAGTGTTGAGTCTATGGGCAATGTTGAGTCTATGATGCAGTGTTGAGTCTATGGGGCAGTGCTGAGTCTATGGTGCAGTGTTGAGTATATGGTGCAGTGTTGAGTCTATGGTGCAGTGTTGAGTCTATGGTGCTATGTTGAGTCTATGGTGAAGTGTTGAGTCTGTGGTGCAGTGCTGAGTCTATGGTGTAGTGTTGAGTCTATGGTGCAGTGTTGAGTCTATGGTGCAGTGCTGAGTCTATGGGCAGTGTTGAGTCTATGGTGCAGTGTTGAGTCTATGGGCAGTGTTGAGTCTGTGGTGCAGTGTTGAGTCTGTGGTGCAGTGTTGAGTCTATGGGCAGTGTTGAGTCTATGGTGCAGTGTTGAGTCTATGGTGCAGTGTTGAGTCTATGGTGCAGTGTTGAGTCTATGGTGCAGTGTTGAGTCTATGGTGCAGTGTTGAGTCTGTGGTGAAGTGTTGGGTCTATGGTGCAGTGTTGAGTCTATGGTGAAGTGTTGAGTCTATGGTGCAGTGTTGAGTCTATAGTGCAGTGTTGAGTCTATGGTGGAGTGTTGAGTCGGTGGTGCAGTGTTGAGTTTATGGTGCAGTGTTGAGTCTATGGTGCAGGGTTGAGTCTATGGTGCAGTGTTGAGTCTATGGTGCAGTGTTGAGTCTATGGTGCAGTGTTGAGACAATGAAGCAGTGTTGGGTCTATGGTGCAGTGTTGAGTCTGTGGTGCAGTGTTGAGTCTATGGGCAGTGTTGAGTCTAGTGGTGCAGTGTTGAGTCTATGGTGCAGTGTTGAGTCTATGGTGCAGTGTTGAGTCTACGGTGCAGTGTTGAGTCTATGGTGCAGTGTTCAGTCTATGGTGCAGTGTTGAGTCTATGGTGCAGTGTTGAGTCTATGGGCAGTGTTGAGTCTATGGTGGAGTGTTGAGTCGGTGGTGCAGTGTTGAGTCTATGGTGCAGTGTTGAGTCTGTGGTGCAGTGTTGAGTCTATAGTGCAGTGTTGAGTCTATGGTGGAGTGTTGAGTCGGTGGTGCAGTGTTGAGTTTATGGTGCAGTGTTGAGTCTATGGTGCAGTGTTGAGTCTATGGTGCAGTGTTGAGTCTATGGTGCAGTGTTGAGTCTATGGTGCAGTGTTGAGACAATGAAGCAGTGTTGGGTCTATGGTGCAGTGTTGAGTCTGTGGTGCAGTGTTGAGTCTATGGGCAGTGTTGAGTCTATGGTGCAGTGTTGAGTCTATGGTGCAGTGTTGAGTCTATGGTGCAGTGTTGAGTCTATGGTGCAGTGTTGAGTCTATGGTGCAGTGTTGAGTCTATGGTGCAGTGTTGAGTCTATGGTGCAGTGTTGAGTCTATGGGCAGTGTTGAGTCTATGGTGGAGTGTTGAGTCGGTGGTGCAGTGTTGAGTCTATGGTGCAGTGTTGAGTCTGTGGTGCAGTGTTGAGTCTATGGTGCAGTGTTGAGTCTATGGTGCAGTGTTGAGTCTATGGTGCAGTGTTGAGTCTATGGTGCAGTGTTCAGTCTATGGTGCAGTGTTGAGTCTATGGTGCAGTGTTGAGTCTATGGTGCAGTGTTCAGTTTATGGTGCAGTGTTGAGTCTATGGGCAGTGTTGAGTCGGTGGTGCAGTGTTGAGTCTATGGTGCAGTGTTGAGTCTATGGGCAGTGCTGAGTCTATGGTGCAGTGTTGAGTCTATGGTGCAGTGTTGAGTCTATGGGCAGTGCTGAGTCAGTGGTGCAGTGTGAGTCTATGATGCAGTGTTGAGTCTATGGTGCAGTGTTGAGTCTATGGTGCAGTGTTGAGTCAATGGGCAGTGCTGAGTCTATGGGCAGTGTTGAGTCTATGGTGTAGTGTTGAGACTGTGAAGCAGTGTTGAGTCTATGGTGCAGTGTTGAGTCTATGGTGAAGTGTTGAGTCTATGGTGCAGTGTTGAGTCTGTGGTGAAGTGTTGGGTCTATGGTGCAGTGTTGAGTCTATGGTGAAGTGTTGAGTCTATGGGGCAGTGCTGAGTCTATGGTGCAGTGTTGAGTATATGGTGCAGTGTTGAGTCTATGGTGCAGTGTTGAGTCTATGGTGCTATGTTGAGTCTATGGTGAAGTGTTGAGTCTGTGGTGCAGTGCTGAGTCTATGGTGTAGTGTTGAGTCTATGGTGCAGTGTTGAGTCTATGGTGCAGTGCTGAGTCTCTGGGCAGTGTTGAGTCTATGGTGCAGTGTTGAGTCTATGGGCAGTGTTGAGTCTGTGGTGCAGTGTTGAGTCTGTGGTGAAGTGTTGGGTCTATGGTGCAGTGTTGAGTCTATGGTGAAGTGTTGAGTCTATGGTGCAGTGTTGAGTCTATAGTGCAGTGTTGAGTCTATGGTGGAGTGTTGAGTCGGTGGTGCAGTGTTGAGTTTATGGTGCAGTGTTGAGTCTATGGTGCAGGGTTGAGTCTATGGTGCAGTGTTGAGTCTATGGTGCAGTGTTGAGTCTATGGTGCAGTGTTGAGACAATGAAGCAGTGTTGGGTCTATGGTGCAGTGTTGAGTCTGTGGTGCAGTGTTGAGTCTATGGGCAGTGTTGAGTCTGTGGTGCAGTGTTGAGTCTATGGTGCAGTGTTGAGTCTATGGTGCAGTGTTGAGTCTACGGTGCAGTGTTGAGTCTATGGTGCAGTGTTCAGTCTATGGTGCAGTGTTGAGTCTATGGTGCAGTGTTGAGTCTATGGGCAGTGTTGAGTCTATGGTGGAGTGTTGAGTCGGTGGTGCAGTGTTGAGTCTATGGTGCAGTGTTGAGTCTGTGGTGCAGTGTTGAGTCTATAGTGCAGTGTTGAGTCTATGGTGGAGTGTTGAGTCGGTGGTGCAGTGTTGACTTTATGGTGCAGTGTTGAGTCTATGGTGCAGTGTTGAGTCTATGGTGCAGTGTTGAGTCTATGGTGCAGTGTTGAGTCTATGGTGCAGTGTTGAGACAATGAAGCAGTGTTGGGTCTATGGTGCAGTGTTGAGTCTGTGGTGCAGTGTTGAGTCTATGGGCAGTGTTGAGTCTATGGTGCAGTGTTGAGTCTATGGTGCAGTGTTGAGTCTATGGTGCAGTGTTGAGTCTATGGTGCAGTGTTGAGTCTATGGTGCAGTGTTCAGTCTATGGTGCAGTGTTGAGTCTATGGTGCAGTGTTGAGTCTATGGGCAGTGTTGAGTCTATGGTGGAGTGTTGAGTCGGTGGTGCAGTGTTGAGTCTATGGTGCAGTGTTGAGTCTGTGGTGCAGTGTTGAGTCTATGGTGCAGTGTTGAGTCTATGGTGCAGTGTTGAGTCTATGGTGCAGTGTTGAGTCTATGGTGCAGTGTTCAGTCTATGGTGCAGTGTTGAGTCTATGGTGCAGTGTTGAGTCTATGGTGCAGTGTTCAGTTTATGGTGCAGTGTTGAGTCTATGGGCAGTGTTGAGTCGGTGGTGCAGTGTTGAGTCTATGGTGCAGTGTTGAGTCTATGGGCAGTGCTGAGTCTATGGTGCAGTGTTGAGTCTATGGTGCAGTGTTGAGTCTATGGGCAGTGCTGAGTCAGTGGTGCAGTGTGAGTCTATGATGCAGTGTTGAGTCTATGGTGCAGTGTTGAGTCTATGGTGCAGTGTTGAGTCAATGGGCAGTGCTGA